GTTGCTCCAAGCCTTGTCCAGCCTGGCCTTGGACACTCCCAGGGATCCAGGGGCAGCCACAGCTTCTCTGGGCAACCTTTTCCAAATCCAAAATGAAAACCTGAAGGAAACCTAATTCAGAAAACTGAATAATAGTAAACCATTTCAATCATTAACAAAGTATTTTACAATACATATTATTATACATGTTATTAATGTCTCTATATATTTACCTTTATTTTAGATGTTTTGTCTTTATTTATAAATAATTCATAAATTTTAGATATTAATGTTTTCAGTGTATTTTATCTATACTTTATATATTTTATTTAATGTAGTGAGAGAGTCAGTGAGTGCTGAGGGAGTTTTTGATGGCAGAAGCTGTGCAGTGCCCAGGCAGTTCTGCACTCCATCAGCAGATGGTGGTAGAAACCCTTTTGCTGAGTTTCCAGGAGCTTCTGCACCTTGCCCAGAGGCCTGTCCTGGCTCCAGGGGCCCCTGGTTGTCACCTGTCCCTTCCCTCCCCCAGATTACAAAGTGGGATGAACCTGCAGATCTGCTTTGTGAACGACAGCGGCAGCGACAAGGACAGCGATGCCGACGACAGCAAGACAGAGACCAGCCTGGACACGCCGTTGTCACCCATGGTAGGTCTGGGATCCCCTCCTGGAGCATCCCTGGGGCAGCTGAGAAAGAGCTGATCCTCTTCAAACAGCAACACCAAACTCCAGAGCAGCCTTTTCAGCCATCAGTAAAGCGTGAGATGCTGAGGGGCAGATAAAGAGCTGCTGTGGAGCAGATGCCTTCGTGTGAAGGTTCCTCCTTCCTCCCTTTCTTTTTGGCTCTGTAATTGAGCTGAGGTGTTATCAGCTCCCAGCAGCTTTTCCCCCCTGTTTTTTCCCTTGGTGAAGATGACACTGCAGCCCCAGATGTTTCCCTCCCTGTGTCCTTTCAACCCCAATTGATCTGGTGGCTTCTCTTCCCGTTTAAAGTTGTATTAACAGTCAACGAGCCCTGTCTGGGAATCGCTCTGATTTCGAGAGATAATCTTGGGGATTAAGATAAAAGAAAAAAAATCCGTGCTTTTCACAGTTTCTGTAGAAATGATGCCACTTTTAAGCCCACAAAAGAAGTTAAGCCAAGAGCAAATGTCTTTGCTGTGGCACGGTCGGGGTGACAGGGCTGTCACAGCTCCATGTGCTTCCCTAGAGCAAGCAGAGCTCGTCCTACTCCGACAGAGACACGACAGAGGAGGAGTCAGAGTCCCTGGACGACATGGACTTCCTCACCAGGCAAAAGAAACTCCAAGCTGAAGCCAAGATGGCCTTGGCTATGGCAAAGCCCATGGCCAAAATGCAGGTGGAGGTGGAAAAGCAGAACAGGAAGAAATCGCCGGTAGCGGATCTTGTGAGTGGGGGCTGTGGGATGGGATGGAATGGGATTGGGTGGGATGGGATGAGATGGGATTGGGTGGGATGGGATGGGATGGGATGGGAGAGGACACCAGGCCTTTGGACATCCACACCACTGGTGGGCATGGGGAGGATGGTGGAGATAGGGGCTGGCCTAAGGAGTGGAAGGGTCAACGTGGGTTGTCTTGTTGGGGTGTTACGGGACAGCAAACTCTTATTTTCCACATATTTCAGTGGAATTTATTACTCACTATTACCATAAAATACACAGGATTAATAACTGAAATTGTTTATGACCTGGAGCCTTGGGTGCAGTGTTGGGTAGAAGGTGCAGCTCACTCTGTGGTGGAGTCGTTGGTGCCTGTTGTGAGAGGGGGATGGAAACGGCCTGAATGGTTCAGAAATGCAAAGAGTTGGTAGAAAAGTATATAAAATATTGACAATTGCCTTCCAGCTGCCACATATGCCTCATATAAGTGAATGCCTGATGAAGAGAAGTTTGAAACCCACTGATCTAAGAGACATGACTATCGGGCAGCTACAAGTGATAGTCAATGATCTGCACTCACAGATAGAAAGTAAGTGAGAAGTCTTTCATTATTCTTTGGAATATCCTGTTTAATCAAGAAAATTCTCCAGGATATACAGAGAAATGTTGATAACTGTATGAGAACATAAGTATACATATATTTTTTTTTATATATATTT